CACTCCCCCAACACACATGAACATCGTTGTCTCATTCATACATAGTTCTACATTTGATTGAGTTGATTTCCCCAAAACAAAACCAATTCCCTCTCCCTCAGTACTCGCCGCTGTTGAAGAGCCACACCGATGCTGACTTTTGTTTGTAGCCTTTTTCTACTTCTGTATTTCTATTCTTGCTTTGTTAAGCAGTGAGAACTGATGTCGGTACAGCTGGAACTACACATTTTGGCTCGTCTTTCTTTATAGCTTTAGCAATATCTGCCTGGCCGGCTTGTGGAAAGACTTTATTTCTGTCGGGATGTAAAGAGAATTTCAACAAATATAACAAAAATGCTTCTCCAATACATTACCTACCCTAGCTTGTTGTTGAAAAAGATGTTGACTCCTTGGTTAATCTCTAATGCCACTCAAAGGCTCAAATTATTCAGTCTGGATTCTGATTAACAAGGTGGACGTTGTACTGTACTCGGCTGTTGTCATAAAATCCTCCATTAATTGGGTACATGTACCGTGCCGAGGTACACATGTAGGCAGCACTGCGAGAAGATAACCCTGTACTTTGGTCTGTGATGCCATTTAGACATTTTGCTCTTCATTTAAAGTATGCAGCGCTTGTTTATGCTGTCTTGATTTTACGGCCTTGATAAGACCGACACACCTCCAAAGTACTTCCTGTTCTCAGATATCTGATTGCAAGAAGACCTTTTACGACCATTTTTTTTTAGCTCTTATCATAAACTCTATACACTCAGACCATCGTGTGTAATGTGTTGTGGAGATTGAGTAAAAGTTAGAAAGTATATGTTTTCATGGCATTTTCTGAAACGTATAATCATCTTTGTTTTCGCTTGTCATTGCAGCCTTTCCAATTTGGCATCACTAGAACTCAGAGAAAATCTGCTGACATTCCTACCAGAGTAAGTATTCAAGTGACTGCACAGTCTCTGTGGATATATATATATATATATATATATATAAACACATTGTTGTGTCTTATATATCCAAAGTGTACTCTGTGTGCCTTATTATAAAAACAAGGCTGTGTATGTTTTATTAAATGCATTTACTGTGTGAACAGAGGTTAATAAGTTGTAGAACTTGCAGCAAACCTCTAACTTCCTATGCATCTGTCATCCACAGGTCACTATCTATGCTTCATAGACTTGAAGAACTTGACCTAGGAAATAATGAACTATACAGTTTGGTAAGTTGTTTTTTTTCTGGATGCTTTGGAATTTGTTTACCCACAAAATGAGCAGAAAGGAACATTTTTTCCATTTCCTTATTCTTGTCATGTCCAAGTAGATTAGCATCCCTCGAGAACAGCTTTCACCTCTTATCACCCAGATGAGTGGATGACCATCTGCTTCAAGCTTTGGTTTTAAGTTGTAATCTTATGTGAGCGGTCTAACTCTGATGGTGAATGATTTACTGACTGATCAAGCAAAGTCAGGCTACAAAGAAATGGCTCTACTATTTATTCTTCAGTCGTGTACATTGAACTCCTATTTACATTGCTGACTGTTGTTTGAATTTTGTCTTCTCTAAGTTTGGATAAATAATGCTTATGCTTCCAGTGGTCTGCACTCAGAACCAAGTTACTTATATTGTCTTTTGTTTTCTGTCTCTCACTCTTTCAATTCCTACATTTCTTCCTCCCACACAGCCCGAGTCAATAGGCTGTCTTGTCAACTTAAAGGACTTGTGGCTGGATGGAAACCAGTTGGCCGAAATACCCGCAGTAAGCAATTTATTGTATTTGAGATGCTGTTATTTCTGTATCTCTCTACCACTATTTTATTTAGTCTTTTCTAAAAAACATTTCTAACAAAAATATAGTGGGACTGTGCATGTTCACATTATCAGAGTGGTCTGTATTTGCTGCCATGTTATTGTAACTTCCATATTTGCTTACCACAAGTCTGTGCTCTGAACCTCAGGAGATGGGCAGCATGAAAAACCTGTTGTGTCTGGATGTATCAGAAAACAAAATGGAGCGACTTCCAGAGAATTTAGGTGGCCTGGTGTCACTCACTGACCTGCTGGTGTCTCAAAACCTCATTGATGCTCTACCGGAAAGCGTCGGTAAGAACGGAAATTCTCCTTTCTCCTCATTTGCAATGGTTCGTTGGCGCGTGCAAATATTCAGCCCTTTGGTGTCTGCATTTAATTCGACATGCGCCTTAGTGAAAATTAAAAGAGAATTATCACTTTTACAAGATAGCAGACATTTTCCACAATATCACAGTAATTGATCAACGTCTGAACAAGGTTTTTGTGATTAATGTATTTTTTTTTATTTCTGTGTCTGCAGGAAAACTACGGAAACTCTCTATATTGAAAGCTGATCAGAACAGGTTAACTTATCTCCCAGAGAGCATTGGCAACTGTGAAAGCCTTACTGAACTTGTGCTCACAGAGAACCAGCTACAGGTACGTTTGCAACTTTACTGTCTAGTCTTTTAAAATGTAACACGTCGTCAGTACCGTCACACTTACTGTACAGACTTTGGCTTTAGCTGGTAACCAATTCTAAAGTAATGCGCTGACTGTTGAGTTACATATATGTAAACTAAACCTAAATAATTACCCAGAATCACAGTTGCATTAACACAGTCAATATGAAAGCAGCAGCACATCATTATGTGATGTTGTTATAGATGTGTTTGTTTATGGCTTTTACCAAGCTGCATCAACACAACACCAATGGTGAAAAATGCACTATTATATAATATTCAATTACCCAAAAAGATTAGAATAATCTGCCTTTGATGCCACGTTATGCTATTGAACTTATTGAACACATTGGCACAGTCTCATAATCAAACACTGATATGTAAAACATCTGGAATGTGACAGGATACGTTCAGTTTGGGGATTTTACCTATTGGGAAACTTATTAATGAGCCAATGGAAACCTTTATAGTTTAAAACTCAATAAACCTAACATGTAATTGTGGCTACTTTATGTTAGAGTCAATTTTAGGAACGATAGAGCCTATGATGATAAAAATAGAATAAAAAAGAACATCCGTCTGCATGGTGTGGGTCAGCATAGGCACAGGGAGGATTTAGTTCCCAAGTCATGTTAAATAGCTCAGGGTAGGTTATTATGGATACACTCACTCACACTCACTGATACACAGTGAAACAGAGATTAAAAACCTCATTCATTCAGATACATGAATGGCTGACCAGTGTTTGTTTTTTCTGTTTTGTGTGTTAATAAATGAAACAACTGTGAGAGCAAAACAGCTGCTTTTGTCTCTGTGCACGAGAGCACGACACTATGCTGTTCAATAAGTAGTTCTAAACACTCAAGATCACGTTAAGAGACGGATGTATGTATTCTTATTGGATCCTGTGTGATTGTGAAAGTATTTAAAAACTCAACAAGCACATGATGCTTTTTTTTTTTTAATTGTTGTTCTGATTTATTTTCTGTTACAGAGTTTGCCGAGGAGTATTGGGAAATTGAAGCGACTTTCCAACTTCAACTGTGACAGAAACCAGCTGACGTCATTACCTAAGGAGGTAAGCTTTTCATATGTCAAGTCGACCAACGTTTCACTAAACGGTTAAAGTGTGTCGAGAGACAATTTAGCCTCAAACTGAAATAAAACTCAAAATAAAAAGTTGTAAGCACCAAAGCTGTTTGAAATCTAAAATCTAAAATCTAAATGCAGTAACACTCTTTGCCTGCAGGCGGCGCACATCCACATGTTTCAAGTCTAAACTGCTACTTTTAAGTCAATAGTAGACTTTTTGAGTAAACTGATGCCGTTAAGTTAGACCACAACTATTGTCATGTAATTATTTTAACACAACAGTTGAGATTTTCATTGGCTCAAACTGTCTAAAGTTCATTTATGTTTGGATCAACAATGCTCTCACTTGTCCGGCTCTCGCATTTCACTTTTGCTGCTCAGTCTTCTGGCTTGTTCAGCTCCGTCTGGAGTGTCTCCATTGTGTTTGTCTGTGACATTCTTTTCTAACCTCTTGTCTGTTTAAGTGAAGGCACGCCTGCTTTAATGCTTCATCTGAAAAGGCTCCTTTAGACGTCGCACAATGCCCCTGTGTCTTAATGATGCAAAGACTGCAGTGTTCGGAGGAAAATAACAGTTGGCCTACATAATGAACTGATGGTGTCACTGTTTTCTCAAACCCGCATTGCATGACACCTCTAACAATCACAGTGTAACCATGACCCGAGTATTGATTTGTGCTTTGCTGAGCTACTTGACCATTTGCCCAGTTTTATAGATTCTATTGATTGTTGATAAGTTGCTCATAACACTTTTTCCCCGGCTGATTTTTGTCCGTGCTCACATGGAAGCAGATGTAATAATATAGTTGATTTTAGAATTTGTGTGTGTTTTATTTACTGATGAACCTATTTCCCTTTGGAAGTGTAGTAGGCTTGCCTTGGTCCAGATCTTTGAATCCACACACTCTACCGAGTTCATGGATTTTGGTCATCGTGTCATGAAACAATGGTTTCTCGAGTGGAAAAAAAAAACAATCCGATAAGCGACTAACGATTAGCCAATCAGTGCCACAGGCAGGACTAATGCCTGTCAAGCTGCTGGCAAGTGTTGGTAAGATGTAAGCCGAAACAAAGGAGTAATAACAACAATGGCGGCCACTATAGACAAGATAGACGCAATTATTGAGGCTGTTCATAGAAGGCATGTATTATCAGAATTAAAAATCCGGCAGAGCCAGTTTGCTGACATGGATACACATCAGTCTGATCTTAAAATGATTCATGCATGCATGATTGGTTAGGGAAAATCAAATCCTCTTCCCCCATGGAAATTTAGAGGGTTAGAGTGGAAGTGATGTTCGACTAAAGATGGAAATAGAGTGTAACTGCTGAAATACATGTGGCACGGACGTGGCGTGTCATATAGGCAGGGTGGAGCAGGGTTTTTTTTAACCTGCGAACACAGACACGTGGTTGCATGTCACCTTTACTGTGTGCATAGTTTTGCCATGTGATAATGCAGTTGGTTGGTTATGCAGGGTTTGCATCCTGTTTTAACTACAGGATCATGGACCCACATTGATCTGCTCTTTTTTAATGGGAAATGTAAAAACAAACACCCACAAAAATACCTGTTGGAGGCACGTAGAGAGCAAAAAAATAGAGCATTTGCATAAAAATAAAGATAAGCAGTGCAATTCCCTGTTGATTAAAATGGACACACTGGCCATGACAAGTTGACAGTTCTGTCTGATATCATGCAAGCAATAAGCACCGATCATATTTACTTGTGTAAATGATGAGCTTAACCTTTTAGCGTGATGAATCTCTGTAACAACATCCTGCTCAGGTCTGAGCAGATTAATAGATTACAACTGCAGTTTAGCTGGCCCATCAAGTCTCTGCTTTGTCTGGCTACTAGGCCTAATTGTTCCTAATTTTAGGTCCCTCTGTCGCATTCATTGACATTTAACTGCTCTGCAACACCAATTGTGGGACAAAGTGCCCAAATGCTCTGGTTTCTTTTGTTCTGGCTTTGTTAAAAAAAGTACAATTGAAACCTTTATGTCTGTCTGCCTATACAATATATTATTTGCCTCACATGACACCTGCACTGTGACTGACATGCATCCTAATCATGTTGTCTCCTCTGATACCTAGATCGGGGGATGCAGCGGTCTGAATGTCTTCTGTGTGCGAGAGAACAGACTGACGAGGATACCGTCAGAGCTGTCACAAGCCACAGAGCTGCATGTGCTCGACGTTTCTGGAAATAGGTTTGTTGAACGGCACACTCACATCTTCTCTTCACTCATCTCTTGGTGACAGAGAGGCCTGAACACCACCTTATCAGTAAAAACACATTGTGCCGCAAGTGATTTGAAGACTTTGCGAGTACATAGTATTGATAATGATTTATCAAACTTGACACGTTATCTACTTTCCTAGGCCTAAAGATTACCTGGATGTTTTGACCATATTACTCACAGTCAGTCAGTCAGAGGTTGTTTTGGCTTCGTTTCTATGCCAGTACCTGTTTTGGTCCAAGAGACAGCTACAGGAATGTCTGCTGCTTTAGTCACACACAAACTTGTTCACCTCGGTGTCTGGAGAGCGTTCCCCCTCCTCCACGTTGTCAAAACGTCTAAACTCATCCTAACGTGACACATGTACTAATCCAGGTATCTGCTGGTATCTTTGTGGGGTCTTTAAATCCTGTATGATATGAGCCTGTTAGTGATTTATATCTTGTTTGTTTTCAGGCTCGCCCACTTACCGCTGTCGCTGACCACGCTACGACTGAAGGCCTTATGGTTGTCAGAAAACCAGTCGCAGCCTCTCCTCACCTTTCAGACAGACGAGGATCCTGACTCAGGCGAGAAGGTGCTCACCTGTGTGCTGCTGCCTCAACAGCCATGTAATTCAGACAATAAAGGTAGTGTTTTTCATCAAGTGGAAGATAATCCTCAGTGAATCATCGTTCTTTTTCAGGTGCAGTGACTATATCTAGACGTGTCTATTATCGTATACGTGTTCCTGAACAGGGTTTCTTTGCATGTGTACGATTTGTATGCATCTGCATTTGTATCCAAGCAGATCAGCGTCTCTGTGGTTCTTGTGTCCGGCTTCTCCCAGAGTGAAATGACTTGGTGCCAGCACTGTAACATTTGAGTAATATTCCTCATCAGTTCTTGCATCGTCTCCGAGTATTTAGTGCCCCGCCGTTTTTTAATGTCGTTATCAGATGATCTGCTCGGGGAAGCACACTACGTTCCGCGCCCGCTGATCCTTCCCTGCAGTATCTGTTGATTTACGAGGTCCTGTAAGGGATCACAGCGCCGATAACAGATCAGGGCCTCTTCTGTCCCTTGAGGCCCTCCTTGGTTATGTTTTTCAGAAATGCGGTGGATTGGACAGCTAAAGAGGCTTAGCAGCGGCTGGCCTGCTGCCATTAAAAGCTCACCCACTGGGTATAGATATGAGACTGAAGGCCAACTCCATCTCTGCCTGATACAAACAGTCTATTGTTATATATATATATATATAGTAATAAAGTTTTTGTGATTCCCTGTAAAATATTTGCTCCGTGCTTCTGTCACTGTAGTCTGCATTTGAAAAAGAAATGGCGCATTCATTCATTAATTTTTGTGACGTGCTGTCTCTCTCCTGTGGGGAAGATGCAGATATAAGACGGGTGGAGGTCAGATGAGTGAGGCTGAAGCTGAGGTTGGGGGCAGGGAAGATTGTGTTGCTGTAAGCCTGTAACTAAGCCGGGATTTGAAACTGTGATCTGGCAGTTTCAGGCTCTGGGTTATGTGACAGCTTTCATTTCTTGAGTTGGCAGATTGCAGAGAAGCAATCATAACAACAATATTGATTTTAATCTGCTGAAATATTCACTTCAGCTTGCATTCTGTAATTCTATGGGAGCATTTTGATGGGTGCATGAATTCCAGTAATACAAAATGTGTTTTCTTTTTAAAAAAACAACCCCAGGCTCTGATAATCTCGCCCGCTGTGGAGCCCTGGAGAGCCTGGTGAATGACATGGCAGATGACACGTGGGACAACAAAGCAGTGAACAGGATCAGTGCCATTCACTTCCTGGATGACGATGAGGAGGAGGATGATGACCAGGTGAGACTGGCAAGCTTGAGGGCAAACATAGCAATCCACCTGGTTTAGTGATATTTTACTCTGAAACCACGAATATTAACCTCATGATAGCCAAGGAGGAAATGTCAGGATACTACCAAAGTCACCGGAGGACCATAAAAGTCTGTACGACATTTAATGGTAATCCATTATATAGACTTTGAGATATTTCCGTCTGGGTCAAAGTGGCGGACTGATAGACTGGCAAACTGTAGATTTTTAGTTTTTCCTGACGTAAACATTTACTCTTTTTGCTGCAATAACAAATGTATCTAAACGTGAATCTGTTTTCCTTCACAAGGGAACACTACTTAGACGAGCCACGCCTCACCCCGGCGAGCTGAAAACGATGAAGAAAGCAGCCGAGAACCTCCGCAACGACCTGAACGCTGCCAAAGGCCTGGACTCCAACAAAAACGAGGTCAATAACGCTGCAGACAGAGTGACCACGTCTGTGTGACCTTTTTACCTCAGAAATGTTTTTTTTACCTCCTGTGTCTCGCCGTGTTGTCCTGCACAAACCCCCGCAGCCCCTTTTTTTTCTTTTACCTACGAACTCCCCGGTGTGGCCTACCCCTCCTCTGATTAAACCCTGGGACGCCTGTAACCTTACTCCATCTCCAGCCCTGTGTAAAAACGTGTTTGACTCAGTCTATCAGGGCCACTGTGCCTTCTCCTCTTTTGACTAATTAATGTCCACAGCAATAATCTGCACAGAGATGCTCCTTTAAAAAAAAAAAAAAAAAAAAAAAAAAAAAAAAAAAAATTATACTTTGGCTATATTGTATATATTACTTATATATATACTATATACTATATTCTTATATATAATACTTGTATATATAGTAATATATATATTATATATATATATATATATATTAAAGATTTATTACTTTTTTAAATGCCTCTTTTTAAAAATATACATAGGGTTGTTGCACTATTATAAGTCTTTATAATATGGTCAAACCTTCGTAAATGTGTTATATATTTGTTCTATATCTATTTTTAAAACACTGGGTGAATACTTCATTTTACAGTTTGGGCAAACATAAAAGCAGGAGTTTTTGGACCTACTGATTATTGTATAGTCTCTTGTGAATATTGATACTTTTATACTTTTTGGCAGCTCGGATGTAAATAAAAATGTATAGCAAATTTCTTAATCAGTTGCAGATTTTTAAACTTTTTTTTCTTGGTACTTTTTCTTTTTCTTTTTCTTTTTTTTTCTTAATCAAAGCAATGAACAAAACGCAGTCACTAATGTCTTACTCAATCCGTATAAATGTCATTGGCCTTGGACCCTGTAAAACATCTAGACTTATTTTTTGGAATAATAAATAGATTTGATTAATTAATAAAGTTTGGATTTAAGTACTGCACATCAAACTTTAATCACTCATCTGCAGTGTAATTATGCAGAAGTAACAATGCTGTCTTATTTATATGTGCTTCACTGCTTTGCAATGTTTTTCAAATAGATGCCAAAAACAGCTGTTTTCTTTCCCTTTAACTAAGAGTACTGTATAGAATACTGATGAGAATGAGGTTCGTACCACATGGATGGCATCGTATAAAAAATGCAGTTGTTAGAAGTTCTAGCTCTTTAATGCACTTCTCAGCGTTTTTCAAATCCTTTTACATGGTACATGTATTATTTTGTTTTTAAATTGATTGCAAAAAGTGGACCAGAGGAATTGGTTCATGTGTTGGTTTTTATGTTCTTAATTATTTTATGATCAAACTGCACAAAACGGATCTCGAATTGGCACTGTGCCTTGAGACTTTGATGACTTTTTAACCACTGATCAATAAAATGAGTGCAACACTAAACAACATGTTTGTTATTCCTTTTTAATTTTATTAGTCAGCCCGTTGAGTTTAAAGAGAATATCAAATAAATGTCATCTCAGCTGAGTTGAACTTACCTAACCTTTAAATGCCAGATTAAAAAAAACAAGATTTGGTGTGGTCTTATTATCTATATCCAAAAATAATATATTGACAATGTAAGCTCAGACTTAAGCTGGCTTGCTTTGAGGCAATAAACCAGATATTCCATTTCCTGACCCCTCCATTGCTTGTTTTGTCTGTCCAGCAGTGCATGATGTTGCTGTAATGCTCTGCCAGCATGTGCCATATTTGACCTTTGTACCCTGCACGTGCTAAATGTTGTACTGACTTAAGTATATTAGAGAATGACTGTATATATGTATATATTTTTATTTTTTGTGCTCATCACAGTGAAATTAGACTAAAATCTGAGGACTACATTATAATGATGCATTGTCTGTAGCTCTGATGCTAATGTTCATGGCAAGTGCACATTCATTTGGATCTCTTTGTACATTTTTGATTAAGCATTGGAAGATGAGCATCTATTATTGGTTAGAAAAAAGAAACTCATTTTGATAATTGATTATTTACTGGAAAGTATCCACAATCAGTAAGGCCTTGGTATTTTTATTAAAGAGCTATTACTGGTGTTCAGTTTCACCTACTGAATCGTGCTTTAGGTGACCTTCCATTATTTTTTGAGTGGAAGCTTCTTCAGTGAGACTACAATTCATTTCAAGCATGACGCCACCCTTCACTCTCTTTCTTTGACTCCTTCTCAAGATCCAATCAGAAGATACATGTTTTCAGAAGGCAGAGAAAGAGACACACATATGAAGCTTTGGAGATCCACCTTCTATCTTGGCTGCTTTTTCTAGGTTTTGGAAATAATTGTATCAGTGAGGGTAATGCAATTACACTCTGCAGGAATGATTGTTTCTGGTGCCCTCTGGTGCACAAAATAAGCATGCATCATGAATAGTCAAGCAGGATTCTTAGCTACATTGATTAATCAGCTGCTCTACTGGAAAGCATGAGACTCCTCCCAGGATCAGATTAGAGAGATTGTGCTGCTTCTACTTTATGTCTGGGGAATGATTTCATAAAACTTACTCGCCACTGATCCATCACTGTCACTAGCTATTTTCTTCAATATATTACAATGACATAACATTTTCAGCAACTGCTGGTGTCTTCTGACTATCTCCAGGAGTGTAGAAATCCTCATACTAACCCGTCCCTCAGGACCAGTAGTCAAAACTGGGCCATCCCAGGCTTCAGCTGGGTGGCAAACAAAGATTGTCAGCAGCCAGGACCCCTACTGTTCCCGGCCAGCGACAGTATGTGTGGTCGCTGCTCCAGCGCAGAGAAAGACGCAGAGGAACTTGAGCAACTTGAGGAGGTCTGTTTTCCAGTTTAGATATTTTATATGCAAAGAAACTCTATCTGAGAAGATGTTTGTTTAACTTTGTTTAATCCTTTTACAGTATGTCATTTGGCTAATGTCTTGTGAGTCAAAAGGAAATGTTTCTCTGCTGGTGCATCTTGCAGACGGACCGTAAAAGCATTGAATAATTTCTTATCACCAGGATGATGCAGGCCAGCTGTCAGAGAGCGACGCCTCACTGCGTCGGTTTCACCATCAGAGATGTGAAACCAGAGAAGGGAGGAAATTTCAGCATCACAAAGCTCTTAATGCAGGGTCCGGTCTCCATGGAGACCCTGTCCACAACATAAAGATCTCATCCATCACAGGGCATCCGAAGTCTTCTCTGGTGACAGAGAAGACCCTTCCTCAGGAATCACTCATCTCCCAAGTGCCATTAAGAGTAACTGCACGTTGTATCTTTCTTAAATGCCAAATTATCTCTGCGGGGTTTGCACTATGCGCTGCAGGAAACCTTATTGATTGTGGCAAATTATTTTAATTTCTGTTTGCCAGCTGTGTTCCTCTCAGGCTGTAAATTGCATATAAATTCTAGCTTTTTATTTGTAATGAAACAATTTCCTCTTAGTTACAGATCAAAGTGTCTGGCCAGAGGGGCAGTTTGGGAATTAGCATTGCTGGTGGGAAAGGCTCTCTGCCTTACAAAGACCACGATGAGGTAAGCCCAGCTGCAGAAGAGCCAGCATTGCTCAATCTCTTGAAACATATTTTTGCTCGTTTGACTTTTGCCTTTTATTGACTTTGAATAATGATGAGAAGCAGCAGCCTTGAGCAACTCACGGTTACCTTCGTTTTCAACTTGAACTAATCTACCAACAGAAAACACATTTGTATTGCATCATTTATTCAAGGCTAATGTTTTTATTTCCTTTCAGGGCATTTTTATTTCCAGAGTAAATAAAGGAGGGGCATCAGAAAAGGCAGGAATCCATGTTGGAGATAGATTGCTGGAGGTAGGCAGGGAATCATTTTTCTCATGTTTGTAATCTTTGTTCTTAATTTCTTATTCGCTGACTGTGAGATATACAACCCAGCATGTGAAACATTGTTGACTGAATCTAAATCACACATTTACTTTATATTGGCTGTAAGAATATCACTATAAAACCCATACTGCTTCCTTCCTGCTGGTGTTCCTCTTGTGACCAGTGGAGGGCATCATAAGACCAGTAGAGACTTCCTTCAGTGATAAAGCCACTGAGGCTGATGAATAGAAAGCGAATACAAACAAACAAACAAATAAATATAAAAAAAATAGTTCTTTAGTTCAGATTCAAGCTGATTGGAAAAAAATCCTTCAATCAGTGGCTGTAGTGGCTGTGGCTATTTTTAGAGAACTTGTGCTGCTCCCCCACCTCTGACCTCCTACTTTCACTGGCCCCTGAAAGTATAATGTGACCACGGTCCATCCAGGTCAATGGCATCAGCATGCAGGGGGCGACCCACCACGAAGCGGTCAGTGCCCTCAGGAATGCTGGGAGCTGCATCAAGATGAAAGTCCTCAGAGAAAGGCTGCTACCCCAAGAGGTGTGTGACATGAACACGCCTCAGGCTCCTCAGGACGTGACGGGAAGACAGCTGTGCAGCCAGGATGGCGGAGTCCAGAGAAGCAAACAGCCGATGATTGAGACCGCAGAAGACTGTTTGTCCAAGAAGATTGAGGCGGTCGTCTGTAACGGCAACGGCATTGTGGGTGGTTGACTCAAATCACTGCTCAGACATAATTTCTAAATTTTACCATTGTTTTGAAATGCGCCTCAAGCCATTTGTGGATTAAAAATCTACTGTGAAGTCTTATACACTACTTTTCTCTTGTCTTGTGTCTTGTTGTTTTCTTGTGTTGTTGTATTTCAGCCTGATTTAGAGAGTGACCTCAATAGGACCTTGTCTGAACTGGAGGCAGAGGCTTTGATGAAAAATGATTCACTTCAAGGGGGGAAACATACAATGACAGTAAGCAGAATTCTCATCCCTCAATAGGTTATCTTCTATATTATTTTACACCTCACTTTAGCCTTTCCCCAAAATTAGTTTGAAAATGATATGGCCTGATTTTTCTGATATTTCAGCACGCGTTCACCACATCACATGACGACTTGCTTATTTTCCTTCCCAATCCTGTTTCCTTCTCTGGCAATCATCTGACAGATCCCTCGGATCATCCTCACTCATCCCTCTACCTCAGATGAAGATGTGGAGCTTTTGACACAGAGCCCCAGCAGAGAGCCGCTACATGACTTTGACATTCCTGACAGACGTGCCTGTTTCGACAGTGCTTTCTACCCACCTTGACCGCAGCATAGAGATACATGCAGACTGTTATTAGCCAACCCTTGGTATTTTTTTGTACTGATGCATTTTCATTGATGTTACTGTGCAGGGTTAGCGCGGGGGAAAAAACTGCTGGAATGTGTTTTTTACCGTCACTGCAAAGCTTTTTTTGGTCTGTCAGATTCAATTGCTGCTAGTATTTCGGGATATTAAAGTCACTTGCAAAAATGACAACTTTATTTTTATTCCTAAAACCACAGTTTTGCCTGTGAAACTACACTGAACAGAGACTGTAACGCATGAACAGGCTGCTGTCCAAATGAAATACATTTCATAATGTTAAATACAGTAAATTAAACAATGAATGCTGCTGGCTACCTCTACTACACATCACTGTACTGTAAGTTATGGATGTGCTGGTAAATAGAGTCCCCGTCCATGACAATGTGAAGCCCTCAAACTTTTTATAGCCTGTACCGAGATAAAATGCCACATGGCTGAACAGAGTGCTCAGCAGGAAGTCCGAGTCCTGCTGAGTCCTGAGACTGACTGAACTTTGCTTCACATGTTCACACACCTCTTGTATAAGCTAAATTCAGACTTGTGAGATTATACACTGCTTTATGAAAAGGAAAAAAAGACCAGACATCACGCTGGAATAATTTATAATCTTGCTTCCAAAGCCTAGAATTTGCCAATATAAATGTCAATACCTGCCTTGTATTTTCACAGCCTTTACATTCCAACAGTTTGTTGTTCTGTGTTCACTTTCTCAATAAAGTGCAAATATATTGTTCCAAAAGCTCTTTTTTTCTCTTTATGTTGTAGGACAGACAAAACCATACTGATATGTTGATATGCAGAGGATGAACACAGTAACACGAACACTTGTGCACTGTACTGAAATTCAGTAAATTTGCCCTGTAAAAACACCACCTTCCATCAATTGTCGTTGACAGTGTGTCAAAAAAGGTGCTGGTTTGACAGATATTGAGATGTTATAATTTGTGGTGTACTGGATTGCACCATAGTGCACATATATAGTTTTATTGTGTCCACCCCCTGAGCGCTTGCTACTGACCACATACAAACTGACATGGCTGCTTGTTGTATCAGTGATGCTGTGCAATGATGACTGTCTGCTGGGCGATAATAATCTGGGGACACAACTTGTTGGAAAGCACATCCAGTGTGCGAGATTCAATTCAGAGTCAATTACTGGCCCGGTTGGTCTCATATTGTGAGACTTGAGTCTTCGTCTGTCTCAAGAGGCGTTGATGTAAAGTCAGTGCGAGGACCTGAGGAGGATGAGTACAGATTTGGATGATTCAGTAATAAAACTGGGACTGTGGGAACATTATGCAACCGGACTTCTTGACATGTTTGGTCATGCGAAATCTGTGCCAAATAATATTTATTTATCTTTATCAACATATTAATTACATAATGAATATAATCCACACTGATAATATTCACTAATTCAATGATTTTAAATTATATGTAAAGATGATCTAATGTAGTGATTTTTAGACATGCAACTGTATCAAAATCACGTCTTGACAACTTCACAACTCTCTATGTCTAAGTATGTTTTCATTAGTGCATAATCACCTGAATATAGGAATCATTATGTTATCTAAAGGCGCAACGGGTCCTCCTCAGTCCACCATGTTAAACTGCCATGTTTCTACAGTAGCCCAGATGGGACAAAACAAACACTGGCTCTAGGGGCGTTCACGTTATTTCATGTACCACCCTAGTTTCTTCTTTGCGCTTGGAACTGCACCGCTAGATGGTGCTAAATCCTAAACACTGCACCTGGACCAAAAACATAGTCTACCTTTAAAAAATGAAATGTTGATCAATCAATCAATCAATCAAACTTTATTTGTATTGCACCTTTCATACAGTTTAGTACAGTGTTTAACAGATGATTGATTTTATTACATACATATGTACACATAGGGTAGATACAAAAAGCTATATTAAAAACTAAATTAAAAAAATTAAGAAATCAGGCAAGAATAACAAAAAAATTTAATCAATAAGAATAGTTCAGATAAATTAAGAATTCAATTTACAGAGGAAATGCCATAAGATAATTAAGTTTATAATGGTAAATCATTTCTAAACCAAAGGTTTTAGTTCTGCAGTTTGAAACCTCTAGCAGACTCGTGCCAGAGGATCTGAGGAGTTCATACTGAGACAAAAGCATACATTAGTTTCAATGTCACTCAGAGAAAGAAATGCACTTTTGCAATATTTTTGAGGCGATAAAAAGCAGATTTAGTGGTGAACAAGCTTCAAAATTCAGTTCAAGACCACACCACGGTTTCTTACTTGTTTGCTCAGGGTCCATGGGAATTTATTTTTGCCAACAAGTTTCCCTCTCTGAATTACCTATTACTAAGATTTTGGTTTTATGCATGTTATATTTTATGAAAAATGCCTGTTTATAAGTATATCCTTCACATTTATGAAATTTTTAAACTCATCTCAGCACTGTAAGGTCATACAGATACTTTTATGATGCATTATATTCATCATAGAAAAGGAATCAATTGGTCCTGTGTCATTAGTATACAACAATGGAAAGAGATGCCGTGTCTCCTGAGGCCATAACCAAGGCTCACCAAGGGGTAGCATATTTAGATTAAAAAGAAATGGGCCTAATATCGATCCTTGGGGGAAGTTAGCATACTTCAGATATATTTTGCTGTGTGAGTCAGTTTATTAACTTTATGACTTTGCTACTGTTGCACAGTTTCACTGTGCTATATAGCATTTACCATTATCCCAAAGGCATAATTGTCCACACATCTGGAAAAATGTTTTGACAGTTGCAAAAATTATGAGAAAATTTCAAAGGTGTTTGGATCAGCCAGGTTTTTCTTATTTCTTCACTTATTATTATTTATTAGTTATTTTGTAAACTTAAAATCAATTTCTCTTTTTCATCTAGAGTAGAACACTGGAGTATTGAAACATTTTTTGAATTAGTTTTGTTTCTCTGTGCAGGGATTTGTTTTAATATTTCACAAATTCAAATGCATAATAACAAACACTGCACATTTGGATTCTGGCATTTCAAACCCGAACAAATTATAATCAAGGCTCGATTCATTAAAAGAGTGGATTGCTTTGGCCAAATCTCTGCTGGGGTTTACTAATGGGGGTGACACCAGACCAAGTTTAGTGTTTCAGTATCAGAGAATTTCCTCAAGGCTAAAAATTAATACTAGTGAAGTGTCACATGTTGCATGCCAGAAATTAAAGCAAATATATATTCGACTTTCTGCATTTTCCACAGACACTGTGAATTAGGAGGCTATCCTATTTATCAGGGGAAACAGGATATTATTACAATGATTTAGCCTGTGGCTTAAGCCTAATTTCAGATCCAAATGTGATGCTCACAAGTGTACATAGTTACATTTCAGGCACTTGTCAGATGCTTTGTATCCAGAGCCCCTCTAAATTAAAACAAAATGACAATACTATTACAATACCAGAGGAACAGGTGGTGGTTTTGGGGTAATGCTTTGTCTTATTGTGATTTTCCCTGTGTGCGGCTGCCACAGAGAAACAGGAGGAGGGACGCAGCAGGGTGGAAATAGACAAGAACAGCTGTGACAGGAATGAAGAATGTAGTGTACTTAAAGGATTAACATCCACTCCAGAGGTCTGCTTTCACTCACTGATAAGGGAACAGAGAAGTTGATGTAGCGGCAAACAAGCAAGTAAATTAATTTCTTTCAAGCTGCCTGATAACTCATTACTGGGAACATGCCGAGATGTCTCTGTCACATGTAGTCTGTGGCTGGCTGGCAGGAGTTTAGATGATCTGGATGCTGAATTAACATATTATATTATTTATACAAATTTAAAATCAGTGTTCTGTATTAAAAAATAATCTGTGCTGGATAAAAATTCAAAATCTTGTAAAATGCTGCCCTCACACAGTTCAGACAGAAATTCCTTTATTTAATTTTCTTCTGCATTGTCATTACAGCAGCTATACCACACAAGACAGACCCATGCTAATAAATGTTTGGTATAATCATAATGAGGTAATTGTCACTCTTACTGGTGGAGAAAAATAAAATACAAATGCTTGACCCTGAAGGGTTTGTTCTGCATGGCGGCACTTATCTCTCAACAGGTTTATTTCACTGTCCAATCAATACAGTTTTAAATAGCTTTTTATAATCTGAGCTCAGTCAGCCATGATACTTGTCAATACAGCATGGCGTCTGTCATATTGTGGCCGTATATAATATATAAAAGTAAACTTTCAGTCTTGCAGATAAAAGAAGTGAGAGTTTATTTTATTTTTTTAAGTGATAAAATTGTAGACAAGTGAACTTTTCAGGTATACAGAGATGTGTTGCTTGTGTGAAGTGTGAACATTGTTACTGGTGCCCAGCAGGCTGACTGCTGTCTGCAAGCTATTTGTGGCTATTATGTGTCTATAAAAGGAAATCTGCAGGGTGATACACACACACACACACACGTTGATACACTTTGAACTTCGCAAGACGGGCTGAAAAGTGTGCATCCTGCTTTCCATATCTGCTTTGATCACCATTTCAAGTCTTGAGAGAGTTTTTTCCAAAGCCTGGACGCTAACAACACTTCTAGATGGCGAGACATTTGAAGCAGGAATGGATAATTTGAATAAGAGTCTGGGGAAGGTAAGAGGTTTGATAAGAGATATTTTGATTTTGATAATCTGAAAATGTAATGATACCCAAAATTTGGGTATTTGCTGTAAGGCTGAAGTAATATCACTGACCTGCTTTTACTTTCCACTGACCTTTGTAGCTACTAAAGTTCTGGTTGTGAAAGTTTTGTTTTCTGTGCTAAATCCTGCTGGGAATCAAACCCAGTTAAAGAATTTGGTTTTAATCTATCAACACTATTACCCCCCCCCAACTGTGCCTTCTACCACTGCCACTGCGCTGCGACCTTCCAGGCTTTCACACATAAACACATAGACACACTATATACTCAGACGCAGACACGTGATACTTATCCTGTTATTTCATGTCAAGCTAGGATGAATAACAGTTACTATAACTGCTTTGGGATTAATTTGTTTGCACAGACAATAGTCTATTTACTATACTAGTAACAAGAATGAACGTAAATGCATGTTATATTTTATGAAAAATGCCTGTTTATAAGTATATCCTTCACTTTTATGAAATCTTTAAACTCATCTCAGCACTGTAAGGTCATACAGATACTTTTATGATGCATTATATTCATCATAGAAAATGTTACCTTTGAGTATGTGAATGATTGTGAGATTTAAAAAAGGGCTGTAAAACATATGAAAAACTATTTATTGATTCACACTGGCACTTTATCCCTAAATAGGCTGTTATTGAAAATTACAGGCATTTATTGAAATATGTGCCTTTTATTTGTTGTTCTTGTCCTTGTATATGAAACTTGGAATCACAACATTTGTTTATAATCTGGAGAGATAACCCAGTGTGCTCAGTAGCAGCTGGCAGTGGGCTATATTTGCACGCCCTATCTCCTCTGGAAGGAGGGGCTGTGTGTTTGTCTGTAATTAAACTCTACTTAGTGACACGCCCAAACTGTTTATGCTTTTGCTGTGGCACAACATGAACCACTAAGATATATATTTTAACATCTGTGGAGCACAGAGGATTTTAGATTCACAGCAGTAATTGTGCTCTTATTCTGAGCATCATCAGTGGCAAATACAAACGAGTGAATATGTGAATAATGAATCAT